ACACTGCTTCAAATTGATATCTTGCAAAATATTTTAAGGTTGAAGAAACGCCATATCATTTTGGTCATTAACTGATAATAAAAGAACAAGCAACAGTACCAGTTTTTAGTTTTTTAGGGCCAGTCTACCTTTTATTATATCCTTAAATATACAATTATATTTTCCATTTCAGAATATACTAGTTTGACAGGAGGAGGAGAAGAAAGAGAGGATGAAGGCGTTAACTCTGAAAATCGAGTTAACAGCCCTAATTCTAGGTAAAAATAGTTAAATTTTCATAATGCTCATCAATTATATTTGTCACAAAAATTTAATTTGTCAGAATAATATTCCATATCATATAGAGCTTTCACCTCTTTATCAACTTTAAAACCAGCTTAAATGTGAAACGGACAGTATGAGTAAAATTAATTGCCCAAATGAATATCAAGTGATCTATGTTCAAATCAAAATTATATATGAAGTGAGCCTAGATTCCCTGATACACATAAATCGAGTATTGCCATTTTTTTTATTTTTATAAAACTCAAATTAAGTCCCCATGCCAAAACACAAACCAAATTATTTCAGATTATGCAGTAATTCCCATTTTTATACGCACTGAACTGGACTATAGAAAAAGTAAACCCTGAATTACTTTTATCATTTTCAGAACACCCAAAAATGAAAAAGGTGAAGCCAGCCAAAAGCTCGTGTCAGCAGAAAGTAGCGACTCCAGCACTCTGAACACTGATGATTCTACACAGGTGTTTCCAGACAAGACTGATGATGAAACCAATGTTCAGACAGCCAATCAAGACTTCTGCACTGAGTGTCATCGCAACCAAAAACACTGTGTATGCAATCGAAGAAGTAGAAGAAATTCCTCACTTTCTCTGCGAGCACTTCAAAGACAGCTCAGTGGTCCCTTCAAAGATGGCCTTAAAAGACAGAACTCACAAGACCACGCACTGCTTCTTCAGGCAGAAAAAGTTCAGGATGAAGATAATGATGGAACCAACTTTGAAAGCAAACACACTGACTGTCCAAATCAAAGTTCTTCAGAGACAAAAGGAGCAGATTCTGAAGGTACAGGTACATGCTTAATGTAACTGCCGGTATTTGTAATTGATTCCTCCATCTCTGTAGGGGGCTGTAGCAATAGTCCGAAGGTTTGATAGTCCAAAGGCTCATTGGTTCGAAAGTTCACTATATAGAATCTTCGGACCAATGAACCTTTGATTAAAAAAAACGATGAAAATGTTACCATTTTTTGGACCAATGAACCTTGGGACTATGGAGATGCCCCGTCTGTAGGCATCATGGCTATTATCTATATGTCTGAAGTTTCCAAAAGTAGATGTTTATATATTATTACATTACATACACCCTGTACATATGCAGTTAATTAAATGCTAACACAAGAAATTCCCAAGAAAATAAGATTGCAAAGCTGTTGAAAAATCATAATTTATTATATGTGTAAGTGTTTTTTTTTTAACACAACTTTGATCACACTCTTGTGAAAATTTTAGATAACACATGCAGTAGCAACATAGATGTACATGCACAGTGTGCTGCTGTTCACGATGATAACAGACCAGCCGGTCCAGACCAAATGCAAACAGCCAGGATGAAGCCAGAGAGCCCCAAAATCATTCCAGCTGCATCCCCCATGACACAGCAATTTGCCAGTGACATCAATGAAAAAGTAAGCCACTTACTTTGAAATTAATGACTGAAAAGCTAACAAGTTAAATACAACATTTCATGCACAATTGCTGTGCAAGCATTAATAGGCACTAAATATCAAGTGCTTTTCTAAAAAAATAGAATGGACCTGATGTGCCAATGCAATTAAAATACATAACCACATAAAGAGTCAATCAAAATGGATGTGACTTGCTCAGGCCTGAGCTGGAGGCATTGGGCAGGGGAGGTGAGGTACATGTAAATGTTATAACCAAGCTGCCTTCTGTGCTAAGTTAGGTCTACCCATTATGACCGGAAATGGGTCTTAAAAGTATTTTAATGTACCTCAATGTCAGTGTTGTATGCAATGAATAGCAACATTGTATTAAACTTTAAAAACTATTTTAAAAAACCATGTGATAGCTAAAATTTGAAAAATAAAGTAAATTGATGAGGCAGAAAGGATTATTTCGATCAATAGCATAAATTTTATGTCTACTTTAATATGTTTTAAATAACAATGTTTTTCATCAATTATCAATATTATTTTTCCCAGATGGACACTGAGCATCTTGATAGAGCAAAATCTGTGGATAAGGAACTCCTGGAAAGAGCTGAGGCAAAACTGAAAGGTTTGTTATGTACTTATGATTCAAAGTGTAAATTTGAATTTTCTAGTAAATTTGTGAATATTTTATGCAAATTTGTCAAATCAAAGCATATGACACAATTCTGAATATTAAACAATACTTAACTTAAATAAAGACAGACATAGCTTAATTCCATTATAACTAACCCCTTTTAGATTAGAAATAACTACTATCAGTTACCATTCAGTTACCACGCACTCCACTCCAGTTTTAGAGTGTAATTTTGAATGAAAGAAGCAGTGTATTTAGCATAAGATTACACATAGCCTAAAAAACTTTCATCCTCTATATTACTTACATTTCAGATAAGAAAATTGAAGAGATTCATCTCTCTTGCAAAGAGGAACTTGCACAATACCTGGACAGGGAACATCCAGTCAGCCATAAAATAAGATGTTGGATACACTTTGGACAAAAATTTGGTCTCGAAAAAATCCGACTCCTTAACTTAGATTCTCCCTCTCAGAGAACTATGGCTATCTTAGAAATACTTTCATCACTTAATTACAATGCTGACAAAATTCTTGAGGCACTAACAAAAATGGAAAGATACGATGCTTTGAATGCATTCTGTAAAGTGGTCATAAATGAAGATGAAGAATAACAGAGAGTTTGAATAAGATATTATATTTGTATATATCATGTTGAATTTTAAAATTATACCTTAAGTCATCAGTATTACCAAAGCCAAAATGGAGAGATGACATTGAGCAGAAGGTCATACATGATAATTCTTAATGAGTGACATAAATTGTCAGTGCATTGCTTTTCACTGTAAGAGCCTGGTCAAATATACTAATAAGGACATTTTAACTGCTTGCATGAGAGAATTATGGCTATCTTGGGCAAACTTTGAATTTTTTTTTTTCATCACAAGTATTACAATGCTGACAAAATTCTTGTGGCACTAATGAAAATTGAAAGATAATTGTTTTTTAAAAATGCTTTCTGTTAGTGGTTATAGAAGTGAAGATGAATAACAGAAAGTTTGAATAAGATATTGAATTTGTATATATCAATTTATCATGTTGAATTTTTAAATTATATATCAGTATTATTGTATCAGTATTACTAAAGCTAAAATGGGAGATAACATCAAGTGTGGAGAAATCTGTGAGGGCTACCAACCAGCAGTTGCTTGACCAGCTGAGATCTATGAATGAATGAATAACTTACAAATTCAAATTGTGCCTAGTTATACACTGTAACACCATTATTAATGTTACAAGGAACTGTTTTGTATATATCATGTGAATAAATTATAGTTTTTAATGAGCAACATAAATTGTCAGATCATTGCTTTTCACTGTAAAAAGAGCCTGGTACAATATAAGGGAGTTTTATTGGTTAATTACTGTTTGCATTGGTCTTTTTCAAACATCCAAACTGCACTTGCAATTCAATGGATAGGTACATGTAAATTGTAATGGATACTAATAAATCTAACACAGCATTATATTTGACTAACAGACAAGGAAGTGTCCCCTGCTTTCAGGAAAGTCTTAATCAATGGTGCTAAATGACACATTATATCCATCAAAAAATGAAGGAAATAAATGCTCATAGCAACTTAAAAACAATTTGTGGGAGTTGAAGCCTGGTTTTATATTAAACAGAATAATGTGCAACTCCTTTTGCAGAGTTCAGTTCAATATTAATTTGGAAGACCTGGAAATATTAAGTGAACTGTTGACTTAATGAAGAATTAAATAGAGTCATAAGTCACAATTGAATATATTTACATATTTACCAACTAAACTGAAAATAACTTAATAACTTATAACTATATGAATAATGAACTAATTAGTACAGTTAAATAAAATTACATAAAAGTAAACAAAACTTAGTGAAAAGATAAAAAGAAAGTTATGCAAACATAAGTGACACGTTGACTAAACAAGGTAAAGAGAGTGAGGAAAATAGACAAAGGATACTCGTGAGTCAAGACTACTAGTATTTTCCAATGGGAAACGAAAATATAAAGAAAGAAAATTAAGACTTAAAATAGGGAATGGCAAAGAACAAAGACTGAAAATAAAGAACAAAAATAAAGAACTGAGATAAATAACAGGATACCCAGATAACGAAGAACAAAGTAAGACAAACTATTATTACATTTGCAAGAAAACATCATGAAATCTTTCTTTTTGTCATTCGTTATCTGTCTCTCATTTATAAATAAAAACTCATAAAAACTTAGCCAATGAGCATAGTTCAAATCCTTGTTCAGTCATCCATTTCAGGTGTATAGATCGAAGTACGTGTATTTTAGGTAAAGAAACTTTTGAGCTGTTGACTGTATTGTGAGATATAAACCTGTAGCTTCTACACAAAAATACTTATGATTTAAAAATAGTGATGTGTGGTAAGCGGGCTGTTTTTTAAAAAAAAGAAGGCGTGTCCTCAAATAAGAATATCAGTTCTCAGTTCTTACAATAAGTGAGCTATTTTTAGTATGGTTTTAGAAAGACCTGTCCTCAAAGAAGATTGTCAATTTCTAGCTCTTACAATAAGTGAGCTATTTTTAGTATGGTTTTAGAAAGACCTGTCCTCAAAGAAGATTATCAATTTCTAGCTCTTACAATAAGTGAGCTATTTTTAGTATGGGTTTAGAAAGACCTGTCCTCAAACAAGATTATCAGTTCTCAGCATGGGACCTCATGCAGTTAGTGGAATAAAAGATTATAAAAGATTGAAGAAATACAGTGATGCCTATGCAATGAGTAATTTTAGGCACACTGCAAGATAGATGTACCTAGCTGCCCAGTGAATAGCAAATGGTCACATTCAGTTGTATAAAAAGACTACTTATATTATCTAATCAAAAAGTTTTAAAAATAATCTTGTCTTTACCATTTAATTCAAGTATTTTATTTTAGAAACTCTAATAAACATCTAACCCAAGCCATTTATGAATTACAAAATTAATGTTTGTTTTTCAAACTAGAGGAAATGTAAAGCAATCTTTCCCACTGCTGAAAAGATAATCAATATATTTTGTTCCACTTACAAGCATCTATGCACAATAAATAGCATGGCCACATACACGTCATCCAGTTTAAACTATTACCTGTAGCTAATGCATTTGTAGTAACAAGGAAGTTATTTTCTGCCCTTAAAACTGGTACAGACATTACTTCCTTCTACTAGTATCACTGAGGTGCCAGGACACATGGGTGTGTGTGAGCAAGGGAGGTGTGCATAGGCTTCATGTACATGTAAGTCAGTCTCTCTCTCTCTCTCTCTAATTTATCTGGTAGTAAATTTAATGCAAAACAATTTTTTATGGCAGCATAAGTAACATCTTAGTAAGTCCAGGTCTAATGTACACTCATTTTAACATGGTAGATATAGTATAACCCACAGAAGGTTGATCAAGAAGACATTAGAATAATAATTAACTATTTTCTCCAGCTGGAATTTTCAACTTTTACTGATAAATGCTTTAAAGTTGCCCCTACCCAGGCTTAAATAGCATGGGGCAGTCTACCTATATATACACTTTTCACCCTCTGATAATTAAGCAGCATCTAGAGTTACCAGTATGAAACAAAAATTGAAAAAGTACACTGTAAGATGTTTATATACATATAGACTCTTTTTTTTTCAGACAATATGCTGTCAGCATTCAACAGACTTGTGAGAACAGAAAATGATGTCAAATATGGACCAAGACATATTCAATTTTATTTTTCATTACTGGCTGTCTTGATAATACAGGTGAATGTTTGTTCAGTCTCATGTGAACATATCTGCTTAAGAGAAGACATTTAGGTCATTTTGATTAATGACAGTCACTTATATATTGCCTCTCAACACCTTTATTTCAAATGGAACCTGTAAAATCCCCCCCCCCCCCCCCCCAATCAAACTGCCATTTAGAGAGTGAGAATTCTGAAATGAAGGAAAGTGACAATTATTTTTTTGGCATTTCTTTATGATCAAAGATGGTACAATAATAAACTGGCCTTAATTTTTTAAAAAATACAATTAACAAGATTGTATAAATCTAGGTAAAAGATTAGAAAATGATTTTTTTCCTCAGAGTTCTCTCTTGGTCAGTGTCTCCTCCTACCCTGCCACAACATGTGCACAGCGGGGCTTACTGGACAAACCATGCGGGAGTGGCGGGAAATTCAAAGAATTTGAAGGATGCTGTCAGAAATGTACCACTTGCCCACCTGGATATGGGGTAAATCCAAACTCCGTAAGTATCTCTTCAGGGGGCTGGTTTGATAAAAGAGCTTTGGGTGATATTTCATCATAATTAAATATAAAACTCAAAAACTTTCAGTCAATTTAAAGATGATATTGTGGCAGTCCTCTTAATAATGTAGTAATTAGTCCAAAATATCAGCTATCAATTATTTTTAAGTTGACTATTTTAAATTTCCAGATTTGTCTACTCTTAAAATAAACTGTAGGTTTTATTATTAGTTAGGTCCAACTCCTGATTACAGTGCATTTGTGAAACTGGCCTCATAATTTTCTTTTAATGACCTTCATGACTAGTGTTCAATGTGTTAACAAATGTTTACCCCTCAGCCTATACAGCTATATATTTTATTAAGTAAGAAATACCACAATTTTATATAATCATATATGAATATTACACTAGCAATTCACCTTGGATAATTTTGTTTTTCAGAGCGAGTACTGTGTACTTGAATGCATACCATGTGAACATGGATCGACTTTTAGTGATGTTCACAAGGCGGCGCTGTGCATGCCCTGTGCACACTGTGATCTGAGGTTTAGGCACTGGGCAAGGCAGTGCACGTCTACACAGAATGCACTGTGTGGAGTCTGCTTAGATGGGTAGGCAGACATTTCATTTAGAAGACTGTTACTAGTATCCACAGCTTCTCTTACTTCTGTTGAAAGATTTAGTATTTTTGGGATCCAACTTTAAAAAAAAATTTGTTATCATTTTATAACCATTTTAGAAGGCATATATATACGCATACTGTATATTTTACCTAAAGTTTGTGTGGTATCACTGCCACAGACACTGTGGTGAATGTTTACAATTAAGCTTCTTCACATTTGAATACTTGGTTATAATGAACACGCATATAATTCACAGTAGTAGTAAGTTAGTTTACTAATATGCAATCTAAACAAAGAATTTTTTTTCTCCTGTGTTTAGCTACTATGAAATCACAGACCGGGACAACATACCTGAACCCGTGTGTCAGAAATGTACTCCACAGGATAACCATCCCCACTGTCACCTTTACTTCAAGAAACTAAAGACAACTACTCCCACCTACACCAGTGCTGCAGATTACACCACAGTAAACCCCCTTACAAGAACAGAACCCATCATGATGCAAGGTACAGAGAATGAGAAAACTAAACTGAATGCTGCCTTTTCATCAACAACTGTTATGATTAATATTGTTCAATTCTTATCAAAATTCTGTATACACTGGGACAATTATTACATTTCTTTTGATAATATCATTGTACTAAATTATATACAAACTACATGCCTGTGTCCATAAATGTTAATTTTTTTATTTCTTATATTTTCAGATACTATCCCTACAAAAACAGACTCTCTTTCTATCACAATAGCAACTGGTTTATCAGTTTTGGCTTTGATATGCCTTATTCCTGGTATCATAGCAACCATTTTTATCTGCAAGAGATACAAGTTGGCAAAATATTCACTCACAAATGCAGAAAGTTCCGTTTCATCTTCCAGTTTTGGAACAGAAGCCACATCTTGTAGTAAGTCACAAGATTTGATAATCTTAATTTTAAGATATAAAAATTTATTTTCAGATTGCAATAATAATGAATACATTTCCAAATGAAACCTGAGTAATAAACCTCCTATTTTTTAAAGGTGTGGGCAATTAAATGTAATCAAAATGGTTTCACCTACTTTAATATGAAAGAAAATTTGAAAATGAAAAAAATTATTTTCAAATGTTTCAAAATGTAATGTATAACTTCCAGGCAAATCTGAGTCCCAAGAAATATGCAGTAATAACTTTACAGTATTTGCACGAGGTGATGTCAAAAATAAAGAACTACCAAGGATTCCTGTCCCTGGTCTGGCACAAAGTTTAGGACATGTGAAGTAAGAACAAATATCAGTGAAGAAACTCAATTTTTAAAACACATACTGTATGACAGCTAGAAGAGTACAGATACACTTTTTGTAAATTACATGTAAATTTTAATCTAGTATATAATATTGCATGAGTGTACTAGCTCACTTTGTAATTAAAATTTTACTGTTTTGTTTTGATAACCAAATTTTCACACCTAATTATTTAATGCATATTTCCATAACTAATACCAAAATACATCACTGAGAAAGTTTCGCACAGTGAAAAGACTTATAATAAGTAAATAATTATGTACATGAGCATTTTTGACCAAAATGAATCACTATACAAATGTTCTCACAAAGGTTACAAGCCAAACAGCACTCCTTGCAGCACATGGAAGACCCTCCACAGCTGGAAAATCTGAAATTACCCTCCAGTAACCACAGCAACAAAGACAACAACAGTCCACACCACCAACCATATGAAGGTGAGTGCAACTGCTGCCTGGACACCAGAACAAATGGCGAGATTGACAACCAACAACACATTTGCCTTAGATGTCACAAGAAAGCCACCTCTTGCATCTGTGGGGATAAAAAAAGGATGGGCAATTTTGAAAACGAACCGTCAACCAGCGACATGCATGCAATGAAGATAACTTTGAGGGAGGAGTCAGAAAGCCAGGAAGATGTTGTTCACCCTGCCTTTAGCTGTGCGTCTTGTTCTTTGAAGGATGACTCACCATCAAGGGATTTTAATCAAAAAGGTATTACAAATTAATTGATAAGTACTTCTTTTATCACAATTCAAATAATCAATCATGAACTGCAAACGTATATATATTCAATTTATGATTTTTTGGAGTTGAAAATAATACACTCAAAACCTGTTCTTAAAATCATCTGCATATACATGCTACACATATTGTATTTGGGTAAGTTTATTTCAATATTTGAGACAATAAATATCATATAGGAGTTGTCAATCTGTAAACAGTTTTTGGGATTGGACATGAGGTAAATCATGCATACATTGTGCTAGTATAACCTATACACCAGTGTCCCAACTTCATAGTCATAGATTAAACAAATAACAGGTTGAGAGTAAACAGTATTACTCATTCTCCAAATAATACAGGTTGTACGTACCAGGAAGTATTCACCAAAATTCATGCTTTTTGATAGCCTGGTGCATGACTTGCATTATAGTTGCAACTGTTATACAAATAATACTATTTTTAATGTCCTTCCTTGACAACAGATATGCTGCTGCTTGGGCCCAATGACCAGAAAGAAAGTCACACCATGAAAGCTACCTGCAGTGTCAACATTCCAACTCGATGTAAGTGTTACCAATGTGGTAGGTGTGACATAGAGAAGCTACACAACTAGCACAGCACATAAATTCATTCCACTTTACCTGTGGAAAAAAAGCTCTCTTTGGAAAAGCATTGTGACATAACTTTCTTGAACACTGACCTAATTTATAAACCAGTAAAAGTATTTAATGGATATTTTACAAGAAAGTGATGACACAAGTTTATAAAAAATAAGTAATAGAAATAAATAAATAAATAAATAAATAAATAAATAAATAAGGTAAAAATGAAATAATGGTAATGTTTGTTATAAGCATTTTTTGAAATCTTGTTTCAGCTGCAGAAAGTCTAACAGACAATACACAGACTGTGGCCTCGATGTGTTATTACCAACAAGTGAGTAACTTGGGGTGATATTCTCCTATTATTATATAGTTAAACTAAGTCAAATGCCTTGCATTTATACATGTGTGCTATTTATTATAGGACAGATGACCACTTTATAAAGATTTATATACTGACCAAAATTAAAAAGGCAATTTAAGTGGATTTTATGATTTTATTTTAACCCAAATATACCAAATGATAATTAGCATGCAGAAACAGTTATCTAAACATGTGCCCACAAATGTGCAAAAGACATTGTCTGGATATTACAAGGGGTTTTACAATGTACTTCAGTAACCACATGAAGTTGGACAGGACTAAAAGGCACATGTACATTAATATTACTGTCATATTTCACTGTGTCTTTTCACTGACTGATTTCCTTTGTTTTTCTTTTTTTTTTTAAATTCATCTTCGTTATGATTTTCAGGTATTCAATATGCATGTTTACAAGGAAGCTTTAGAGATAGCAAGAGGTAAACTGCTAGAATTTAAAATAAGTGCTTTCATTTCTTACAACACACTTCTTTTCTCAATATGTCTCCCCACAAATTTTCTGTCAACTAGGCACATAAAAGATTAATCTACTGACAATAAATGTGCAGCCATGTTTCCAGGGGCACTAATTGCACAGCTGTTTCCCAGTGTATGAGTAATGAACTTATTCCTCCATTTTTCCATTCAGACATCAAGACTGAAGACTGGTGTTACAACTGCCAGGAGATGCTTGCAAAATACCTGGACCCAGACAACACGATTCCAGCCTGCGGTAAGAGCTGGTTTCACTTTGGCCTTGCCTCAGATGTGGGACTGACCCACAGAGACCTACAGAACATGAGGGAGGGCAAACCCTACAGCAAGACACTGGCCATTTTGCAAAAGATGACCACCTTGAATAAGAGTGTGGATTCAGTGTTGAAGACACTGAAATATTTAGAAAGATTTGATGCTTTGGATAAGATCTGCACCATGCTGGTGGATAAACAGAAACATGGCCATTGATGGAAAAAGAGATAAGTAAAGGGTCCATAAAAAGAGGCTAAATTTTCAAGACAAACTACCAACTTTGGGGGGGGGGGATCTGAGACCCCATTCCCATACCTAGATCAATCTAGCTGGATCGACCCATCTCTGAGGGGATTATCTCTAAATTCCATTCAGATTAAGCAGCTTAGATATCTGGCACGTCAACTGAAGCTGCGATAGTTATTTACCCACTAACAGCTTCCATTATTTTAGCCAATCTGCTTTGCTTTTCAATAACAGCTGAGGCCATGGTAACCATGCCATGCCATGAATAAGTAATACTGCATGTATTAAATCTTATGTGTATTATTTTAGATAATGAGGTTGCTTTTTACAGCTGCACATTTTTGTACAAAGATTTTTCAGTATTCTTTCTTTTGGACACCTGATTTTTTAAAAATGTATATACATTATACCATGGCATAAATCGGATATTTTTTGTGTCAAGGATCGGTGTAGTATTTAGTTTTGGTTTCAAGTAACAAGATAAAATATATACAATTATGTCTTCTTTTACAGGTGCACATTTTTGTAAATACAAAGGTTTTTCATTTATTTATTTATTATTATTTTTTGTTTGTTTGTTTGTTTTTGGCACATATTTCAAAGGCATAAATTGGTACATCTTAACCATGCTCAGAACTGGACTTTTTCATGTCAAGTTGCAAAATGATGAAGTATGCAATACATGTACATGATTGTTAGGAGTACCAATTTTCATGCAAAGACAGACTTAAACAAATGGAAGTGAAATGTAATTTTTACCACTTACGTAAGTCTTCCTCAAGCTTCTACAGCTGCACATATTTTATACTGGAAAAGATTTTTAGTGTTTTTTTCTCTTATCTTGATATGATAAGAATATTTTTCATGTCAAGTAACAGGCTCACAGATGTATATGACATTCAATATTTTTTACATAGTGACAAAGTCACTAAGATAATATAACATTCAATTTTTGAGTCAAGGAATCAGATCAGGGAGTTGTATAAAAGTCAGTTTTCATATAATGTGACAGGTTCACAAAGATGTATTACCTTTAGTTTTATTTTTGAGTGACAGGTTCACAAATTCATATTTATAATATGACTGGCTCAAATATTCATACTATTCAGTTTCAATGAGATGACAGAATAGCTAACATATCTAACATAGGATGCAATTATATTTTGGAAAGATATTAATAGGATACTGTATTTTTAACAGTCCCGTAGCCAGGGGGGGGGGTCAAATGAAAAAAAAGGTTTCATGGTAAAAGGTCCACTTTTTCAGAAAAAGAACCCCCTTTTGAAACTGCTGGCTATGGGCCTGTTTAAATATATTGTTTGACAAAGTTATACTATAAGTTGAATTAATACTTAATATCTTATTTATTTCAGAAGAAAAATAGTTATCTTTCTTACTAAACAGCTGGTTAGGTTTAATAACTGAAAGTACACCATTTAAATATTTTTTTAACAATTTTATTATATAGCACCATTTACATAATACATTTCTATACTTATTTCATTTTATTAGCTCTACTTAGTTTATTTTATTAGTATCTTTACAAGACATTTGCCTTCATTTACAAGACACATAAACATGGAGCCATTCTGTACCTAAAACAAGGGTAAAACCTCCACACAGTTCATTGTTGTGTGCTAAAAGTAAAACCATTGCTCTGCAGTGTAAATGTGTAAGCTCATTTTTAGAGCAATTATAAAATATGTAAAAAATGTCCACCCTCAATGATATGTGGTAGTTAAGCAATATGTTGATGATATTTACTGAACTGGTTTTATCAGTAATGTATACAGTTATTGTACACATAAATATAATGGCAAGTAAGGTGAAACAACAATATCCAACTTACAAGTGTAGAAGACTGTCATATGAGATACATTCTTATTTGTATTCTAGTTTTTGAATAGCATGCTTAAAACTGGAAATAAAACAATTTTTAAAAAAAAACCACAGCATCCATGTCTACTTATTGTTTTGCTCCAAATTAAAATATATAACTGACAATAGACCAGCTCTCATGCATAAAATAAGAATTTCAATTTGGCCACAAGCTGTTCTGTATTTTCCAAATGCAAAATAATTTTTTTCTGAAATTGCTTTGCATATTGCACAATTTGAAATTAAACAAAGATGTACAGTTATAGTTATCAAGCAAATACATGTGGCTTCATACACTTCCTGGTATAAGTGAAGTCTTAAGATCCCCTGTACCTGTGCTGCCACCTATCCAGAACCACGATTGTTAGTACACACCAAATTCCAGCCTCTCTATGATCCCATCCTCCAGCTGACTTCTGTGCTCCACTTTCTGACAGGTTTTAAAAAACTCTTTCACGATACTTTTGGCACATAATTTCACTGGAAAGAATAAAATAATTTATAACTGATAACATGTTTAAAACATACAACTAGGCAAGATACTCAACTTAAAATTACTGGTATAAAATACAGACAAATGCCTGCCTATGCATTACAGATATCAGCTTATAGCCACTGAATAGTAATTGTTTACCAGCCATCTTGAAAATACATCCTTGAATTAACAGTCTGGACTGAGAAATGGTGTAATTCAATCCTGCTGGATACAAATAATCTTACACCTCAGTTAAATTTTAGAATAAAGCACAAAATGAATTTCCCACTCACTCAAAATAATGGAATGAGAGTTCAATAGAAGCATGCAGGTGGAACAGGCACAGACACTAAAATTGCCTTCACATTTATTACTGAAACATGAAATTTGTTTTAGTTTACTTTGTCATTTTTTATCACACTGTCCCTAAATAATTACTGGGATGTAAAATCTGAACCATAACTTACCATTTTTAGAAGTAACACCTTGGCTGTTCGACAATTTGTGAGATAACTTCTTTGCAAGGAGCTTAAATAATTCCTGCAAAAAAAAGATAGAAAACATAAAAAATATTCAAATGTCAAAAAGTGTGAAATAATTTACAAATTATCCTGATGTCTTTTCATTATTGGATTTTAAAAATACCAAATGAAATCAAATTAAAATGCAACACAAAGTTTGAACACATAAATAAAGGTAAATCTTAGAACTATCAATTTGAACATGTTCCAGATAACTACATTTACATGTACATGCTGCAAATAGACTTACTCAAGTCCAACCATTATCTGGTATATGTAGTATAATTAGGCAATTCACTTTTTAGTTAAAGGATATCTACCTTAGAGGTGAACTTCCCATCCTTGTAATACCCAGTCAAGTATTTCACTATTAAGGCAGCAGTGTTTTTCAAACCTTCTTCACTGCTCATATTGTGTGGTGCTGATTTTCTACTCGCTGACTTCTCGGTTGATTTCCTAGAGCTCTGCAATCCATTATCATGTCCTTTGAGTGATTTTGATTTTGAAGATGGCAATTTTTTTATATCAGCTATGCTATCAAAATGCACATGAGCTCTGTTCTTGGGAACATCTTTGAAGGCTTGATTTTGGGTTATACACAAGAGAGCCTTTTGATGCAGAAGCTAGATCTTTATTGCAAAAACCATCAGTTAAAGGCAAATTCCCTGCCTCATTTTTCACATCTATTGCACTTTCCTCCCTAGGTTGGTGTTTCTGTTTATTTAGAGTATGTTTGACACTGCTGTCTTTTTGGTGACAAGACCTCTTGTGATAATGTCCAGATGTATGCTGTGTATCCTCCTTCAATTGTTTACTTTTATGAGCAGTAGGTTCCTACAAATAATAATAATAATAATTATTATTATTATTATTTGAATTTTCCATCAAGCAATATGGCACTTCACCAATCTGTAATCAAACTGAAGTTTCACAACATTTATAAAATACGTACTAGAAACTTCATTTCATTTTTCTAAAATTTCAGTATGATCATTTTATCAATAAGAAAACTGCAGATGTATATCACAGTTCCAGTTCAAAGAGTGAATAAAGGAGTTTACCTCTTCCCTTGACCTCTTCTTGCCTTTCTCCAAATTCTGCCCCTCTCTGGGAGCTGTGAAGTAGTTTTTCACACTGTGTGGCAGCCTTGTCTTCATGTTATCATAGTCACTAACTTCAAAGAAATGTTTCATATGAGGCACCTTAGAATTACTGGACACAGATTTGTCATCTTTTGTCTCACTAATAACGCCCTTGAAATGTGAAGGTGAAGGTGACCTGCTTGTAGGATTTCCAATGTCAAGGTCAATCTCCAATTGAGGCTCCTCATCAGATTCTGATATGTCCAGAGATGTTTGTGGGGCATTACTTGACTCAGAGGATGGTTTATCAAAGAAAGAAGTGATGGGTTTCAGTCCATTTTTTGCAGCAATCTGCTGAAGTTTGGTCTGCTTTTTTCTTTTATGTGATGGTTCTTCTGCCTCTGTGGCTGCAGATTTGTCATGACTGCTGGCTGAAGAAAAGGATGTGATCAGGCTGCTTGCCTTGCTAAAACCCATCACAGCTTTGGCTGACTGATCTAATATTGATGAGGCAGGCTTAAACCCAGAGAACTGAGACACTGTTGCTGGTTTAACACCATCTGCTGTGCTTTGCAACAAAGAGGCGGGAATTAAGGAGTTTGAAATCTTTGATTTATCAAATTTTTCTGGCTTTTTTACTAAAGAAGATGCTGAAATGAAACTACATTGTACATCAGGATCCGCATCATCCTTTTCAGCATTTGAATCTGTTATAAGAGAGTCTGCTCCCATGCATTCAGTATCATCTTCACAAAAGGGTTCCTCAGGATTAGAATCTGGGGCATATTTTGGCACGAGGCAATCATGGATTTGATTCTGTTGAGTGCACTTCTTGATTTCATTTATCTTCTTTATAACATTGGCCCTACACATAGGAACATAAATACATTCACAGAAGGAAAAAAACACATTTTAACAATCATCATTTAATGTACAGGTACACATCAGTTCCATTAACATTAACTTTACAACCACCTGCTATATATTTTTTCTTTTAATAAAAATTACTAAATTAGTCTTAATGTACAAGTAATTTTTGTACTTTTCCATCCTAAAAATGATAAAAAAATCATTACAAATCAGACAATATCTAAATATTTAATTTGTTGTATTTAAATGTCGCCCTCAACGTTATAGTCTGTTAAAGATCTAATCAAATTAATAACACTATACTAAAGCTCCACATTTACCTGTATACATTAGCTAGTTTGTTAGCTTTAAACACTTCATACTCCTGATCAATGGCGCAGCACCTAGGTTCATAATCCATGGCCTGCAGTTTGACAGGGTTATCACTAAAATACTGCACAAAGTTGGTTTTCAGTGCCTCTTCCAGCATCTGAAAACAGTGCTCACGGTTCTGCGAAAAAAAAAAAAAAATTGCATTTTTTTAAGTGTAATTTACAAAATAATGCTTTAAAGTGTTTTAAATGCATAAAAATCACTGATGCCATCCTCGTGTTTTTCTTCTCAAGCATTAAGTAAAAATGTGAATAAGCTTTTTATGTTGAATTTAGCTTTTTACTTCTTTGTAATACTGATGTTTATCATGCCAAAATAACTTACTATATAGGCAATAGATCCCCAAACTCAACAAAAGACAAAACAATGGACAGGTTTTAATAATTCCACAACATATATAATCTAACATACAGTTTTATAACCACAGATTGATCATGAAATAATGTTCAATCTTTCTTCTTCTTTCTCACTTGTTGATTTTCTCACCTTCACAGTAAGTTTAGGAATTCTCTGATTAAATGCATCCCTCAAGGGACAGTCATCGTCAGGAGCTTCAAAGTCTTCTTTACCATTATCCTTCAGCTAAAACAAATTGAAAACTAACTTACTGATCATGTAAAACTGCTTAAGTGGAGTAAGCATTTAAAATGAATTCCCCATTATAGATTAAGGAATTGTATGTTTTAAAATTAGTAAATATAAACAAATGAACCTACAAATTAAATATCTCAAATCCTTTTTGAAACAAAAACAGCTCGAGCTTTGGTGAGTGTTGGCATCTGACAATAAAAATAATATTTATGATTCATTAAATTTCACAAGAAATTTAATGTACAAATCAAGTTAGCTTCAGGCAAGAAAGACTTTTTTATTACCTATAGCGACATCTTGACAACAAGCTGAAAGTAGGTGTTCTGTAATGTTTGAAATTTGCCATCAATTACACAGGAAGTCAACAACAAATAAGTGATTATACTTTCACTTGAATATGCACATGGAAGAAATTGCTATGTGGACAAAAAAAATTATATTGCACACCTGAGCCCCTTTCCTTTTCTTAAACTCATTCAAAATGAACTGATGCCTTTGCTTTTTCTCTTTCTCCTCACGTTTCTCTCTTCTATAAACATCCTCCCCATCCTCATCACTATGATCACTCCACTCACTAGATAACAAATAGGAGAAAAAAAAAGATTTTCAAATACATAACATCAAGGATCCAACAGTAAGAAAGATAATTTTTTAAAAAAAATTGGTCAACAACCTTGCCCCTTTAAAAATTGTTATGTACAAAAACACTTCTCCAATCAATTACTATAACAAGACAAAGCTTCTTTTTAAACTCTGATTTTCTGTATAAACAAATAATCAGGCTGGGATGTGGACATAATTGATTTATCAACCTCCTTTCTGGCATAATTATCCATCATTTGCATCAGAGCCCTGAAACTGAAATAACAAACAACAAAACGCCTCATGCACACCTCCGAGCTCCTTTTCTCCCCCCTCCATACATATCAGGATCAGGGCCTGCAGACTCCGTCACCATCATGGTCCTGCTACGGCGATCCTTGTTGGCATTGGCGTAAACCCCTTTCTGTAGCATGTCCACCATTTTTTCCACCTGACGCGGATTTTTGCAGTAGTCACAGCCTTGATTGCAATCTGGTCTGTCATCTTCAAAGTATTTGGCGATAGCTGCATGTCTGCATCTGAAGATAATTAGGAAATATATTCTATCTATTTTTGCTTATTTAAAAAAAGTCACTTTTATAAGGTTAGAAAAATCAAACTGAACTTATGCAGTTGCTTTTTTAATTATCACTTATGTAATTTTTCACTTTCTATTGTGTTCAGTAAACTTAACATCTTTTCCTACAGTGTTTTATAATCAGGTATATTCTGTTCTGACACCTACTGTAAAATTGATTTCCCCCAAAAAATAAGATATCCACTTGAAATTTACAATTCTTTCTTTGTTTATGTTTTATTACTCATTATCAACACTAAGTGCATCAAATAATATGTGAATATAACAAACCACAGTGACTTAATGACTTGAGGAACCTTTTTATTATTTGAACATGTGATGGATACCTTCACACAGGCAGTGTGTTTCACTTTTAATATCAACACTTACTGGGGTTTCTCCACGTAGTTGACCAGGGTTTGAAAACTTTCCTGCGAGGCCTTGCTGTGAATTGATAAGCCATCAGCTATCTTACCCTAAACAAAAGAAGAACTTTTATTCAAAAAAAGTTATCAAAAGTCAAAACCTGCATTGCAAAAGTTAAATGACATGATCTTACACTAGATTTCTTATTTTTGTCAGATAATAAGGCCAGAAAAATGTAAAAATGTTTTGAGAGAAAAACTTAACAATATCACCAATAGTGTGCTTTAATCACAATTTCAACATATCCTTAAAAAAATCTTTTATGAATCAACATGAATAAACAAATTTCAATAAAAAGAAAAAACATAATTATAAATATGCTGCAGAAAAGCAAAAAATGTATCATATAACATCTAATCTTTTAAGTTATAATTAAAAGCCTGATTGGGTTCACTGCTCTTTTCCATAATAAAGCAGATTTTGGCATAGATAAATACAAAGGTCACGGTTGGCATGTCAACTTCTTGTACACTTCACTTGCAACTGGCTTATTCGTAATATATTGAATAATTGACCATACTGAATGAGTCAAATGTTACGTGTAATAAAAGCAAAAAAACTTACACAGACCTACTATATATCCCAATTTTCAAAACATTCGCCGATACGGAATAAATTTGTTTAATCTTTTGTACAGATTATTTGAGGGCTCCTCTAAAGTTTTCAAAACTTCCAATCGCTTATTTTCAAAACAAACCAAGAAGAAAGAAAAGACCAACAATTTATTGTTCTCTTTTATTCAGTTATGCCACAATGTCAACATAGAAATGAAATTCAAGCATTTTTAAAAATACCACCACTGCTTATATTACTTTAATGGAAATATCAGCAGGAGAGGTGTGAAGAACAGGTGTAATAAGTCTCTGCCCCTGAGACGAGGGAAAAGCATTTCAAAAATTCGAAAGACAAAATATATGACAGAATCCAAACCACATGCAGATGGAGTTATCATTGTTGAAGAGATGAGAGTACATAATTTCAATATTCCCCAGGCAGCATAACTGATGGAACTTAAAATCAGAAGTGTCACCAATGTGGGATAAGTAAATATTCATTACATCACCGACTATATTCAACATTATGAAATAGGAATATCCGGAGCACATAACACAGGTAAATATCTGTCATATATCTATATATTTTTTATTCAACTCGTATCGCTTTTAGTGTTGAAGATGCATTTTTCATCAACAAATATTTCTTATAACATGTCAGTACAGTTTCTTCTCTGCCTTACGCAAGTTCAGAAGTCAATACTGGAACAATTCCCTATAGTGTTGATCAAATCCAAATTTGTATCAGTACTAGCTGTTTCTATTATTGTAACATGTTTATCCTTTAATCCTATATATGCCATTAACAATATTCAGACAGCAATATAGAAGTTTATCCTTCTAACAAGACACTGCTTATCTCTTATCAATCAATTCTGTCATGCTCGCTACAATTAATCTCAAAGCTAATTTTACGATAAATTAACCCTATGTTGTAAAGCAGATATTGGAATATTGACAAGGCCAAAACAGAGAATATTGGGATATTGATAGGGTCAAAATTGAAAATAACTACCATACAGTTTGAAAGAAAGGTTATCCAAAGTCTACAAACATGAACAAAGGTGTCTGTCTGTATTGGCAACCTGAGGTTCAATGTATTGATATCTAAGGTCCCAGGGTCCAGCTCTAAAGAAATAAACATGAGCAGGAATTGCAAAAAATTTGCAGGAGTTTACAATTTTTTTCTACAAGTAAATGTTGCCTTTAGAAAGCAATTTGCTGGCAGTTCTAATCTGCATTTGGCTGTACATGCCCAGTAGGCCAAGACAGTCTTTTTTTTCTCCAATACCTTTACATAACATATGAAAAGACCTGTGAAGAATTTGTAATCAATTGCATCAATAAATATTGTACAGTTAGAAAAATAGCAACAGAGCTAAATGATTGTACTATTTTCTTTGATAGGGGGGTCAAGACAAAGTCTTGGACAACCAATTATGACGATTCAATAAGATTTATGTTCTTTTTTTTCACGAAAAAGAGCAATCTACGTTGTCCACACATTTGCTACAGGACGGACCATGGGGTTTACCTGACTTGTGACACTTCTGATCAACCATGAATTAAAGACACTGTTGGATATGTCAGAAGAATGTGGCGTAACAAACTCTCCAAACACAAAAATGTGCTCCCTCTACCCAACAAACAAGATGGTGCTCAGGAGAAAGAGCTAACAGCTTTCCAGAAAATCATCAATCTCGCCAAATATGATGAAAAACTACGCCATTACCCCAATCCTTTTGACACAAGCACTGAAGAGGCTGGACTTCCCCACGCCATTAGAAAACTGGATACACTGAATGAAATAGGAAACAGTAAGACAGACTTTGCCCTAGGGAACTGTAGTGGATATTTACAATATAAGGTGCACGGAAATGCTGAGGCCGCCAAGGAAATTTTTCAAACGATTCTCAAACTTGATCCCAACAACATAACTGCATGGGCATGCCTCGGTAAGTTAGCTGTGAAAGAACAAAACGAAGAAAGAATACAGGAAATTTTATCTAAGCTGGAAATGCTGAAAGAAAACCCATCAGCTGTTCGACAGGCAAAATTTGAAGAGGCATTTCGTTATGCCCGTTTAGGAAGTCAGTACTCTCTTAATGCACGGATATGTTTTTCTCAGCTTTACAGGGATTCTGATGGTCACAAAGAAATAGTATCTGAGATGATTCTTATGGAATTACGGCACATAGAAGAAAGACTCCAACAGCATCAACACATAAGTGAACCTGATCTTAAGCAAACCCTTAATACCATTTTAGAACATCTTTATGAGCTTGTGTATCTTGCCCCAAATGACGCTGAAAGTTATGCGCGAATAATTCACACATTGTGTGTTGCCATGTCCAAACCAGCCGGGAAAGAATGGATCCAACAACGAAAGGACACTGTCCCCTGGCTTGATCCAGACTATTCCCTTCAACAAGCTCAGTCTAAACTGAAGGCCACCAGTAGCAATAGTAACATATATGTGTATAACACAATGATTAACTACAGCAGAAAGGTGCAAAAATATCAGCAAGCTGTGGAATTGGTAAAGGAAGCCCTTTCAAAATTTCCCAATAACTACAGTTTGCTTGTTCGCTATGGGACTGTGATGCGTGAAGGCATGGTGCTTAAACAAATCCCAAACGAAGAAAATACCATCAAACAAGTGATTCGAAATCTTACCACTGCTACTCAGCTAAAACCTTCAGAGCCAGCAGCGCACAGTGTTCTTGGCCAGTTTTACATTGAAATTATTCACAGTGACATCGATCAAGGAAATTGGCATTTTCAGAAAGCTGTGGATCTTATTGACAAAAAGGATCTCGAGGACATCTCTATAGCTCACTTGATATGGAGTAAAAGTTTGGCCATCGCTCAAGATATGAAAGGCTGTTTACGTCACATGCATAAATCCCTTCATACTCTAAAAATCGGCCATACGGCAAGGTACAGAATCAGGCACGCCATAACAGAGACCTTCTCTCAATTACAACAAAAAAACCCAACAGAGACTTTCTACATGTTGATCTTGGGCTACCTGAAAATGGAATTGGGAAATTTGGAAGAAGCTATGCAACATTTTCACACAGCTCACAAGTCAGACGCAAACTTCCAGACAATAACGGCGCTGGCAGAGTGCTCGCTCGCACAAAAGAATATCTTCATGACTGAGACGTGGCTTGAGAAGGCAAAAGAGTACCTGCCAAAGGAGGAGGAGGAGGAAGAGGAAAACACTCAGGATACAGTTGAGGAAAATGAAAATAAAATCAAATTTCATGAGCTTCAGAAACAGCTTCAGAAGATAAAAAGCTAATGGATTAATTGGCATTTATCAGGAATAAGACGGCTATTCTTCTGCTGTAGGACTGTCAACAGCAGTGACGAATGATACAAAATAAGAACTATAAAATAGCACAGATTTAAACAACAGGCTGAATTCAAACAATGACACGACAACTATCTCTACAGGAGGTAATGCATTAACTTTCAGCTCACTGTAAAGTGGACTGTGTACACTTTTCCACATTCTTAGTTTGCTTAGCTGACAGAAGCACAACTGAGTTATCAATTAATTATGATAAGAGGAAAACTTAAAGTTTCTTAATTCTTAAAAAGAAGAATGCCACAGAAAAGTCATATTTTATTAGAAAATTATTTTAAAAGGAAAAAAAGATGGTAAATTGATAACTGAGAGCCAAAAAATTCATTCTTCTGTCACCTAGAGCAAACTGTATGGGGTGCTAACATTCTAAAGATGGTGCTTCAATATAGAGAAGTCATCTAATTTTTCATAGATATGGACCAGTTTTTATGACTAGTTGGCACTTTTTAAAATTTAAAGCAAACTATGTTACTAGTTAACAATATTAAGCTTAAAGGAATTCTGAGTATATTTTCAATATTCTCTTAAAATCAAATTTCTAATACAGTATACCAACCTATTCTTAAGATGACATCAAGTCTCAAATGTTTGCCTACTGTACTTATTATGGATAATGAGACGTACGTTACCAGCCTAATATTAACCATTAAGTTTCCATGTTTACCTGTTTTTACTCTAACAGTGGGTATCCCCAATTATTTTCTTGTACTTTAACAATATTTATTACTTGTACTTGTAATCATACTTTCATGATGGATTAATTTTTTTACTTCTATACTGTAACAGTTGAAAGGACAAAGATACTGTGTACAATTAAAGATCAAAATTCATGGTCACCACTGTTTTATTTATTTTATCTTTTTAAAATGTTTTTTACATCCAAAATAACAGGATAGCTTCTGTTAAAAGTTGATAAATCTAAGAAGTAAGAACTTCACCAGTCAAGAACAGCATTTGTGAATATCTTACAGGCATTTCTGCAAGAGAAAAAAAGTCATACACAGCACTGTTTTTTGTGATGGTGAAAAACAAATCATCAGCTAGAACATACACCTTCTTTTCATGTAAAAGCCATTTGTTTACAAGTCTAACAATATCCAAAATCTTGGGACAATACCTT